CATGCTCTTAGTGTTGAAATATGTTAATAAACTAATAATTTGAGGATATGTTGACTTTTTTTTTTTTTTTGTTAATAAACTTCGATCGTTTTAAAATAATATAATTACAAATTTTTAATATATTAAAATTAAATCTTCGAAATCTAAAAACTCTTTAAATTACAAATTTTCAATTTTGTATTTCGCTAGAGATATCTTATAATCAAATATATATTCGAGAGATAAAAAAGATTTAAAAAAAAAAAAAAAAACTATGGGAGAGTAACATATAAATTAATGCCGATATATATATTGTTTTCTTCTTTCAAAAGGGAATTTGACTTGTCTACTGTCTATAGGACCCCATAGCAGAGCGATGGGCTGATTGGTGGGATTTTATTAATTTATTGTGTGGTCGAAAAATAATTTGAAATTATATTAGCTGTCATTAAAAAAAAAAGAAAAAGAAGTATGCATAGGTTTTGGTCAGAATCGAAACTCGTCCATTGCGTGAAGGGAGGGAATTTTGAATCTTCCCCTCATTTTGGGCCATCAAAGTTAAAATGATGACAACAACATCAAAAGAAAAACTATGATGTAGGACGAGTCTCTTTGTTAATATAAAAAATATCATCGATTCATAAATAAATAATATTATTTCTATTGATATAAGACAATAAAATAAAATAAAGTCACTAGACGAGAATGGATATTTTGTGCGGAGAAATATGCACCACGTCGTAGCTAACTACTATGGTGTGGAGAAATTATTTATATTAATACTATATATTTATATATATTGCATATTATTAAAAATTTGTTCATTTTCAATTAATGTACATTTGTCTTTGTCTGGGATCCTCCATGACTGAAATAAATGGACGTATATTAGAGAGACGATACAAAATCTACCACCACTAAAAATCTTATCTCTATTTTCTATAATTTAAAAAATGCAAAAATCTTTCCTTTATTATATACATGGAGATTTCCTTAATCACATCTAACACTTATTAAGAGTTAATTTGATTGAATAATTGAAGGAGGTGAAGGCCATCAAATATAGACTTTGGATGGTAGTAGGAATTTAATAGGCTTTATTGAAATTTAAGAAGCTAACTTGTGATGACTAAAGCCTAGTAGTGTCGGCCCAGCAAACTAACAAACGACAGATGGACAATCTATATGTGAGTGATTAAGCCCAAATAGAACAGCTACTCGGGCTCATGAATTGCCCAAGTTGGCACATGGGCCGAAGTGGTGTACCAAGATGAGATGTGGGAGTGATTGAGAGTGGGAAAGAAGGTGCAGCAGATAGGAGGAGGAGGGGCGATGGAGTAATGGGGAGGGCAGAGCAGGGGAGCGCAGGAGAGGGGCAGGCATGTGGACATATTTGAGTTGACAGATAATAAAATAAGAGCGGCGAGGGGGAAGAAGAGGAGTGGGCCAAGTAACAGCTGGAGGGATCACGAGGCGCCGTAGCCTGTGTAGGATTTAGGCAAAAGAAGGCGCAAAGATTCTACCTTGGATACGCGATGTAGACATTTCCCTCTACTCTCTACTCCTCTCTACTCTACACCCTTTGTCTTGTCACCTTCTCCCACCACTTTTTTCTTTTCCTTTTTTTTTTTTTTTACTTACATTCTGCCTCTATTTTCATTTGAACTGTCCCCTAAATTGTTTTTCTATCCCAAGTTATAAACAATAATGATAATAAATAGGGAACATTAATTACAATCTGAATGAGACAAAGAGACAGACAAATGTAATGCATGGATCAAGCATGAATGAGTATATAGAAACCAAAACACAATCACCTACTCACTCTGTTCAATTCATTTCACTCCTTTTTGGACCCCCACAGACAGAGACAGAGACAGAGACAGCCATTCTGCAAAATAATGTGTGTATATATATATATAGTACGAACTATAATTACAATTAACGTAAGTAACTAAATTGATTAAAACATTATACACTAAATAATTGAAGAGTTTGAATCTCCATTCAAATACGCGTGCTTTTGACGTAAAGAGAAAAAGAAAACAATCCCATGAAGGTTAGCACCAAAAGACAAAGGGTTGTTGTACAGTGTTGGTATTGGTCCAATTTACTAAAAATAATGAGACAGGAATGAGTCCTTTAAATTGGAAACATAGTGAGTGTGTTAGGACAAACCCATGTCTCGTCCCCTGGGAAGAAACAAGAAATCCCAATGGAAACATACCACATGATTTATTGATTAGATATTAAAAATAATAGAGGTGTATGAATGAGCACAAAAGTAGAGAGAAAAACGATGCATTTTTCCAGATGTCCTTGGCGTTGCAGTTTTGTATTTGGACAGCTGCTGGAGCTGGGTGGGTGCTGCCTCTGAATCAATAAATGTCGTACACCAACACTAAACTTTGTATCTCCCCTCGTCTTTCTTCTCAACTTCACCTCCCATGTCACGACATTTTTCATTAATGCCTTCTTTCCCTTCCCTCTACATAAAATATAAATTCTTGTAACTTTCTTTTTACCATTTTATTCAACCAATTTCACATCCATAAACCTGTTATCTTTCAATTGTATGGGGGTTGAGAATTGTCATGAATATTTTATTTATAAATATTACTCGTACATTCTCCATTTTGATTCGTGAATTTATTAGATTCATATCTTGTAATGATACATGAATCATTTTTATTTATTTATGTATGAGCATTCGTGTTGCTTTTATTCTAGAATGAAAATTAATATTATTATACCGTCTAACAATTTGTCTAACATGAAGTCATTGTCATTATGTATTTGATTACAGTTAATTGAAAGAAACTTTGTAAGTGAGTTTGTAGCGTGAGAGTGTGAGAGATATACTTTTGACTTCCACCCGTATATGTAGAATAATTTCTTGCTTCCAAACCATGTGTCTCATTGTTTAATCTCTGTTTTACTTCTGCTTTCACTACAAGAATTGGTGTAAGTGCATTTTAGTTGTAACATTAATGTACAACAATATGTTCGTGATTGTTTTCTTATCTAAACAATGTAAGACTCGGATCAAACTGGAACTGATGTATATATATAGGTTTTCTATTTGATTTAGGAAAAATAAAAATAAAATTCCCTAGCTACCCAGTTGATTTTGACGTCTCATATTGATCAACTTTCAAGAAAATTCCTCTCATCCATCCATCTCTATATCACTCCGTACCTAAAATGCTGTCGATTTATCTTCATTGTTCATAGTCTCCATGCTTCATCAACCAAATTTCATAAAATAATAATTTAAAACGAGGAATGAATTCCTATGAATAATGAGTGGGAAATTAGAGCAATCCAGGTCGTGCGCAACCAAGCCCAATCAATCAGGTATTTTAGAGTTTTGTTAAGAGTGTTAATAATGATATGATTATGATCTTTTTGGGTTATGAATAACAATCGGAAGCAGCTGTCAACAACATCATCGTGGGTTTGTGCTAATTAAGTATGCATGTCGTGTTTGACTAATTAAGTGTTTTAAAAAAAATTAAGATAATGAGGTTCCACTATTTGCTAATCTTTTTGACTAATCGAACTCATTTCCACCCCAACTTTCTTTTTTTTTTTTTTTTTTTTGTTCCTTTAATTTATATTTTCTGTAGAGATCAAATCCATGCCTTCCTTTTCCTTTTCCTTTTCCTTTTTCTTTTTCTTTTTTTGGCGGATGAAAATTGTAGAACTCCTTTTTGTATTTGGAGTTTTTTTGAATTTGGCAAAGCATGTCAACAAAGTGAATCTTGACATAAAATCCAAACAAACAAAAGAAGAGAAAGAAATTAGGAAAGTCTCAAGCCCTCTCTTTCATCAATATTTATTTTTTGTTTTCTGTTCTAAGGGTTCATTGAAAAGACATTCAAAATTATATATAAGTTAACTTAAGGTAAACAAATAATAGCCAAATAATTTAGAATATATTATTTACAAATTTAATATTAAGGTAAGAATAATTTGAAGATGTCCCAAAAATGAGCAAGATAGTTTGTTGGTTTAGCAGCTAAAATATAAGAAGGCTATGTCAGTGTTAACGTAGGGGTTGAATTTTGGGTACCATCGTCTCCTTTATTTGTATTAGACCAAAGCCACCAAAAATTTTGTTTCAACTTGCCAATTTTCCTGGATTTGCGCCAACATTTTGTTGCCCACCAATCATTTTTTACCAATAATTTCAACTCCATCTTACACGTGTATACATTGCATTTTAATAATTATGATAGCAATAATTTCAATTCCTTCCTCTATTTCTATTATTATCTCAATTTTGATATTAAAAAAAAAAATCATTTCATCGAAGAAACAAATAATAATAATTATAAAAGAAGCTCGTTCACACCTGAACATGGAATAACTTTTACCGAAAGGGATATGCGAGTATGATACTCGAGTAAAAGAGATTTGCACCTTTCTTTTTTGTATATCTATTATAAGAACTTTGAGGTTGAGCATGTTTTTCCTTAAGCAATTCTAGGTCGAAGACTTCTTGAAAGTTTTTTTTAGGATTCATTTGAGTGAAGACAAAATATTTTGAAATGACCCGTGTTGATTTGTAGCAATATTATTCACCGTTAGAAGCGAAGAGTCACTGTCATCAGGAATGCAGGGGATTGTTGGGGTCATTAGAAGTCGGAGTCGTAAGAGATGAATGAATCGCAGACTGGGAATGGTAGAGATGAGGGGGTTACATGGGATTGGGGCCAAAACAACGAAGAAGAAGTGGGAGAGATGAGAGTGGGTAGCAACCTCTGTTGCCTTTCGGGAAAGCGAATTGTAATAAAGGAGAGGATAGCAATTATGAGGAAGTGCAAGATTGAGGTGCACATTGGGGTCAAAGGCAAAGGCAAAGTATTTTAATCATCCACTTTAAATTTCACTAACATCAAATCATTGAGAATTTAATCATTACTTCTCCCCCATCTTTTGCATTTGAAATGCCAATAAGAGGAGAGCCCCAAAAGGGTTTAATTTGAAGACAGATGGATTACAGACGCACAAGTCGATTGAGAATTTAATCATTACTTCTCCCCCATCTTTTGCATTTGAAATGCCAATAAGAGGAGAGCCCCAAAAGGGTTTAATTTGAAGACAGATGGATTACAGACGCACAAGTCGGACCCCACGATGCTTCATTCTTTACTCCCACTCACTCACTCACTCACTCCTTGGAAATAAAGAAAAAGGGATTGTAATCAAAATTCTATCTTCTTTTTCCCTTGTCTCCCAGACATCATCATTTTTTTTTTCTTGCTTTCTTTCTTTTCATTCGCCTTCATGCAAACAAAAATTTTCAAAAACTAAATGCCCAAGTAATCAAGGAAAGACAACGGGTTGTGTTCTTTTTTTTAATCAAGTGTCATTCCAAGCTGCAAAAACAGGCAAATGTGCCATGGAAATGGCTGTTGGCCTCAGCTGCTGTGGGGTTGGGTACCAAGACCCCACCCCGCTTGTTGCACCAATTAGCTTCGACGCCATTGACGCATTCGCCTTGTCAGGGCTACCTTCTCTCGAGCTACTCAAACTCGTCACCAGCGACGACGAATTTGAAAAATGCGTTACTTGTTTGTTCAAATCATCTTCAATTCCATGACTGTTAGTAGTGTTCAACGCTTCGATACCGATCAAGTTCTGCAATGCCATCGAAAACGAAGCATTCGGATAGTCTCCCGACGAGGCCATCGACTTATTATGATGGTGATCTAGTGATTCAGCAACACAAGTAGCAGCTCCCTGTTGGTGTTGTTGATGAGAAGGATTCTGATACAATGCCATCTTCCAATCCGTACCATTTCCGTCTGGATTCATTTCAATCCCGCCATTATTGTTAGATGCAACAGAGGAATCGTAGGCAACGGCAGCAGCAGCAGCATCAGTCCTTGGGTCGACGACCACCTCCTTGTTCCTTCTGGCAAGCTCGCCAGCCAGTAGGGTATTGCTGGCCATGATTCTCTCGACGTCATATCTCGAAATGTCAAAGTTGGTGACAGCATTTACACCGCGGAATTTGATTGCTGCAATGTCGTAAGCCTCAGCCGCTTCCTCTTGCGTGCCTGACAATATTTCTCAATTAATGACACACACCACATTTTCAAACCAAATATTTTGGAATTTAGAGACCTTCTGTTCCGACACAACACATTAATTCTTATCCAAACATTTAATCACTCATAAAGTAATTCATAGCTAAAAAACAAACTCACTAAATGTCCCAAGGTAAAGATCTTTGTTTCCAGCAACTCTCCCAATCCTCGCCTGCCATCTTCCATGTTGGTGATGCCTGTTAAACAAATAATTAATTACACTTAGCAACAAATAATAAAGATTAGTGTAACCATTATGGACAGAATAAAAGAACCTTGTGACTCCACGGAAAACTGAAGCGCCCCTCGAAAAGCCACTGCTTTTCCTGCAAAAAAACAAAGAATACCAATGGAATATACGATTACGAACAAAATCTGAAACAGAGAGGAAATGAAAAGGTAAAAGGGATGATGAGCTGATGATGATGATGAAGGCAAATGGGAAATTTTTAATTAAAAACCAAACTTCAAATTTTTTTTACCTTCTCAAGTGGGCAACATATTCCTGGCGGCTCATATTCTTCATTTCTTCCAGTTCAGTCTGATAATTCTCCAACTGCCAAAAAAACATAATTAAATGTAATAAAGATTTAAGCTTTTGAATCGCTGAGATGAGAAATGATGAGGGTTCTTTTTTTTTTTTGCTTTTAGAGATTTGAAGCATACAGGAAAGTTAATATGCGTGGAGGGTCCCCAGTACTTGAGGGCAGCAAGATCGTAAGCTCTTGCAGCTTTTTCTTCCATATCATATCCCCCTTCAAATTTTGAGTAATAAACATAAAGTTTAGCTAATATTTCAAACAACACAACTGAAATGAAGCATTATATTTTGTTGGCCATAAGCTTGAAGGAAACCAAAACTTACCAAGATAAACTGTAATGGTGAAATGTGAAATGGCATTCCCGTCAAGAACAGACCACGACAAGAAAGAATGTAAAATGGTCAATCCAAAATGGAAGCTTATGAGAAAAGAACATGAAAACTTGAAATTAAAAAAATGGGGTTTTTTGTTTTTCTTGGTACAAACACCTTGTCTTCCTTTCCTTGTTTGCCCTTCTTTCTTGCAACTATTATCCCAGAGATGAGCTTCATATCTCCCAGTCCACCTGTGTCTGAGGTATTTCCAAACCAAAAGGAACAAAGCTTGAAAAAAGTTGTATTGTATTAGAATGGGATTTAAAAGATGAATAATGAGGTAATGGAACCTTGTGACGCCACGATATTGGGAGGTTCTTTGGCCAAAAGTATCGATGGACTTGCGGTGAACGGGCTGCTTCTGGCAGAGTTTTCCAGGGCCTCGTTTTTTAGTTTCTACGACGGCGCCGTCGCCTCCAGTAAGGGAGATCTGGCCAGAAGCCGTGAATGAGCTCGATTGAGAACCTGGGCTCATCGACAAGCTCAACGACTGCAATTCCCCACAGCTCATTCCACCAATGGAGACAGAGTTACCGCCACTGCCGCCGTCATGTACGAGAGCGCCTCCGCCGCCTCCAGTAATTTGTTGGTCCAGATTATTATGGGCGCCGGCATAGTGGGAACGAGAGACCCAGTTTCTAAGGCAAGGGATTTCGTCGTCGTCAGCGGGTAGAATTTGAGGATCGCAACCTCCAATTCCAATGGAAGACGGAACCAGCCCTGAGTAGTATTGATGGGTATTTTGCATCAAAATCTGCTGCTGTTGATTTTCTCTAATGGGTCTATGAAGAAGGTCCAACGAATGTTCCCTGTCGGGTTCGGATTCAGCATTTTGATTGAAATAACCTCGACCCCCCATTGTTGCACCGCCCAGAAAATCCTCTAGCTTCGGCGAAGAACTCGGAACCATCCCTTCCAAAACAAAACCCAACAAATTTCAGAACGCCCCCGGAACACTAAATAACAAAACAGAGGAAAGAACAAAAGAAAAGAAAAGAACCTTCGGTTTGTGATCTTGAAAGGGCTTCCATAATACAGAGTGAACCATCGGATTTGAGCGGCATTACAGAGAGGGAAGCAGCAGCAGAGTGATGAAGAGAAGCATTTTCAGCAATCCCATAAAAGATTTCAGTGTTATTGTTGTAATGAGGAGACAAGTAGAAGGCATTGGTAGCAGAGTGAGAATGGTGATGATTGTAGGGATGATCAGAGGCAGTAACCTCCATTTTCATGTGGGGAGAAAGAGAGAATCCCAACCAACTGCTGCTGTTGTTGTTATTATTATTATTATTATTATTATTCTCATTCTCGTTCATCGACTTCATCTTCTCTTCTGCTCTTCTTTCTTTCCTTCTCTAGCTGCAAGAACCGAAATCAATCATTGGGGACAAAGGGGGAGAATTGTTTTTAAAAAATTTATGGTTTACAAAATAACAAAAACACAGAACTAATGATGATACGAACTACTTTTAGTTCTCTCCTGGGGTTTTAAAAACTTTGCACCTCTTCCAATAAAAATGAGTAACTACGGTACGGGTAAGAGAGGAAAAGGAGAGTGAAGAAGAAGAAGAAGAAGAAGAAGGAAAAAAGGAATAACCCCAAGAATGGTTGGAAGGAAGAGTCCAGTTGGGCGAGCAATAGAGGAGAAGAGGGAACCCAGTTGGTCTCTTTAAACTCAACAAAGAGAAGAGGCAGATGAGCAATGTTGTTGGGTAGCATCCCTGCACTCCATAGGGATCTGTGTATCTTTTACTTTTCCTTTCAACCCCACCTCCCATTTTCCTTCTCTTTTAATCTCTCCTCCATTCTCAGTTTAGTTTCTTAATCATAGTGATTATGATTCTAATTAGGGTTTAAGAGAGAGTGGAAGAGTGACAGCAACAAAACACACAAACTCAGGGTACATTTTGGATAGATTTGAAGGGCAGGAGAAATCTGGGCACACCCCCATTGGGTCTCTTTGTATAGTACCACCCACTCCAACCTTATTTCTTGTTTTTTGCTTCAAATTTCAATTTAATTCAGAAATGCCAAAATGGTAAGCCCATTTTTCTTACTGCCTCCCTGTGGCTGTAAAGAGGGTCGCAGCCCCATCGACCATCGCCCATCACCCATCACCCATCACCCATCGTTGGTTGCTAAGATGGTGTCACCATCTAAATGGAAGCAAGCACCTGGAAACTGGATTATAATTGGTTTGTATTTGGAGGAAAACACATGGACTAAATAGTAGCCAACATGGACAAAGACGTAACCTTCTCGTCTATTGCCTTTTTGACAATTTCTTCAACTACTGCACCAACCATTTTCGTCCTACTTATTTAATCTGCATTTTTTTTTTTTGTATTATTTAATTCCACTTTCTTACTGCTGCTCCCCACACAATTATACAACTATGAGTCCAACTTTTTTAACAACGCCCAAATAGAATCAAAGAAAATAATTCAACCCAGTCCACTCCATCCATTTAATTAGTTTTGATTTAATTTGTCGGTTTCAATCACTTTCACGTGTCAGTATCTAGTGATTTGATTGGGTGTGGCATTGTGCCCCAACACTCTAATATATATATAGGTATTGGATAATGTAGAGCTCAAATGTGTTGTATCTAACTTGGCTGCTTATACACTTCATTTGTCCACCTCACGAGGTGTTAGATTGTATGCTTTGTCGACTAGAATCACAAAAAAGATGGTGTTGGGCCTTCGGTTGGTAGTTGTCGGGTAAACCAATGGTACATGAATGAACTAATACCTAACAAACACTTTCAAAAAGCCTATGAATACCCATTGTTGGTAGATTTTGTCCACTTTGGCTCGTTACGTATCATCGTAGGTGTCTTGCTCTAATATTACTTATAACAACCCAAGCCCACTGTTTAAGATATTGTCAGCTTTAATCATGCCACTTGTAACAACCCATGTCTACCGCTAATATAATATTGTCAGCTTTTCCCCGTTGCATATCGCCGTAGGCGGTGTCTTACTCTAATACCACTTGTAATAGCTTAAGCTCATTATTAGGTGACGTTATCAGCTTTGGCCCATTAAGTATCGTCGTAAGTGTCTGCCTCTAATAGCACTTATAACACCCAAGTCCGTCCATTTTAGCTTGTTATGCATCGTTGTCAATCTCACGATTTTAAATCTCACACGAAAGTGACGAGGCATTGGTGAAATAATATAATTGTATAAAAAGTTAAATAATTGTCTTACTTTCTCCCTCACATTTCATTGTCCCGTACAATTATTCTGTTTTCAATTCCAGGAAAGAACAGAGTGATTGTGGAGAGAAAGAAGACGTCATTTTCCGACATGGCAGCATCTCAAATTTGTAATAACAATAAAGGCATTGATATGTAGAGGTTTAATTTGTAAAGAAGTAGAAATAAGATGATACCCAAAAGCAAGCAAGAAGGAAGAAGGGGAAGTGGATACTGAAAAGCGCACACCACTTGCTTCGAAATACAACCCCAATAATTGATTCCTGTATATACCACCACTTTTCACTCTTTTTCTTCTTCTTTTTTTTTTTCTTCACAAAAGCCTATGAATTTAGTTTGAATGGAATATTCAGAAATCAAATGGGAATTCCAAAAGCTGTTGTTCCAGGTTCTAAGTTGGATAAACAAATTTCTTACTAATAGTATTCGTATTTGTATGATTCATGGGGGTAAAAAAATATGGGATCATTAAGCTTAGGATTTCCCTAGTCTTTCACTCAAATTCTCTTTTACTTTGCTGTCTGCTTTATTGCTCCCAATGATAAGGACAAGGTAATAAATTTTTTTACTCATTTTTTTCTTCACCTTTTCTTTCTTTCTTTCTTTCTCTGATTCCTTTATTTCTTTTGTTCATTGTGTTTCTCTGGTGTCCACCAACCATCTTTAAGGTTGTTTGTGAGTGGGAATGTTTTATTGCATGCAAATAAGATATGCATGGACATGATTTGGGGCAATTGTGTAAAGTAAGATATCATGAGTTGCGAGTCTAAAACGAATGGGTAATGTAACGGTGTTTGGGCAAAGGGTTTTGACCAATGCCATTTCTCTCTCGCTTTCTCGCCATTCCCTTTCATTTTCATTAACCTTTTGAGGGAGAAACAAATGTGACAATAGTTGGTGGGTGCTCCCTCTTCTTTGCTTCCTTTTTCTTTTGCTTCTTTGTCTGCTTTTGATGATTTTTCAAACTTCACACTCAATTTCTTGGCCCATTTTAAAAAAAAAAATATATTTCAGCTTAGACTAGATGAATGGATTGAGTATAATTCTTATCAAATATTTGTATATAATATAGATTCCCACTTCAAGGAACATGCTCTTGTTTTAAAACTTTCTCTATTCACTGCCCTTTCTCTGAATATCCATACAAAAACAAGACTGTTTTTGTTGGGCCCAGAAATCAGAACACAATTTCCATGCATATTCCAAAGCATTTGACATAACTCCAAATGCAAAAGAGCTGCCCATTCAAGAATTCAGAACAATCCTTGTCCCCTTCTCTTTCAACAACTAAACAACCATTTTAATGGTTTTGGAACACAGGTTATTTACACGTCAATGATCGTTAAACAACGTTCGTTCTAATTATCGTTTTAACAACTAAACAATGTTCGTTTCATCGCGCGTAGAAATGAAGGACACTGGGTGTTGTAGGGTCGTGAGCAGTTGATGATATGAATAGTTATACTGAAACCAAGGAGTGGGTCCTGCCAAATAGCCAACCAAGTCACAAAATAGTGTATTCATGAACTATGGTATAGTTTTATTTTATGTTTTCAGATTCACAGTATCAAATGAAAAAAAAAAATTAAAACTTTTCATGTAATATTATAAGAAAAAGAAGGAGGAGTGCGGTGGATTGTCAGTGTGACCACAGCGATGTGATGTTCAATTTGTAAGTCACAAAAAGACACAATTCCAAGCTCGCTCATTCCCTGTTTTAATCTTATTGTCATTCTTTACGTCTAACAATTTGACTCAATTTATAATATAGAAAAACCTTTTCAGTGTCGCAAACTTTGTACTAATCTCTAATTCAAGCTAATGTGCAACTAAAATGTTAGTAAAGTTACGAAACATATAAATACAAGCTGCTCGTAGAAATAAACGAAATATTTCATATGAAAGCCCTTAAATGTAAAGTCCAAAAATGATAATATAAGCTAAGAAACAAATAAAGATAGGAGACTTATACTTGGAAACGGATATGGTAACAATATTTAATTGGGGTCACGTGGAGAAGAGATTATAGAGGAAGAAAATTCCAAAAGGGAGAAGAGAAGTTAATATATAAAAAAAGGGGGAGGAACAAAAAAGAGAAAGGGTGTGGTGAAGAAAATCACCGGATGATGGGTACTGAACAGAGAAGGACATCTAGCTGTGACCCTCTGCAACTCTCTTTCTCTCTCTAAGATGAATAAATTTTTGAAGATCTTTCATATTTAACATCTGTCCTACTCTCTCTCTCTCTACCTAAATATGTATAGCTATAGCATCCCTCTGAAACCCTAAGCCCCCTTCCCACCCTCCAATGACATGTCACATTACAACCCCAAATCTGTCATATTTATCTCTTCAAATCCATCTCTCTTCCCTTTTCTTCAAGTTTTTTTTTTTTTTTTTTTTTTACTGTC